ATGTGGGGTGTTGGATGCTGGCGACTGGGGCCTCATGGGGAAGAGGGATTATGGAAATTGTGACCTTGGAGTCAAATCCCAGCTGCTCAATTTGCTGGCCGTGTGGCCTCAGGCAAGTTACCTCCTTGTTTGGGGCCTCAGCTTCCCTTGCTGTAAAAGTTTAAGCTACCCATGGATTCTTAAGGATTATTTGGGCAAGGACTGGAAAGTTTCTGGGCCAGGCCAGGGACAGAGCATCCCTAAGAACTGCCATCTGGGGCGACTTGGTTAGTAGAGTCAGAACAACTGGTAGCATACCTGGAAGGCTCTGTTGGCCTGTGGTTCTCATTAGAAAAAGGGATATGGCTGGGTTGTGGTGGTGAATGCTCTTAATCCCAGCACTTGGGAAGCAGAAGCAGGGGGATCTCTGTAAGTTTGAGGCCAGCCTGGTCTACAGAGCGAGTTCTAGGACAGCCAAGACTACACAGCAAAACCCTGTCACAGAAAAAACAAAAACAAAAAACAAAACAAAAAAAGGGATATAGACCACTCAGAAGAGGGGGCTGGGTCTTGGTCCTGCATGCAGATCTCTGCTGAATGGTCGTGGGAGGCAGAGATAGAAGCCTGGGGCAGGAAAAGACTTCAAAGAAGCTGACTGGCCTTGAGCAGGAGCCTTCTAATGGTCTGAGCTGTCTGAAGCTGCCCCAAGGTAGGTAGTGAGTGCAGGGGTGCCAAGAGAGGATGGCAGGGTGGCATTGGTGTGGCAGATGGAAGCACAAGCCAGGAAAGCGGCTTTTGAGTGCTCAGTGGGTCTGAGTTCTCATTTTCAACTATCTCAGGCTCGCCGGTCCTAGTAGAGGAGAGTTTATACTGAGCAGGTGGGTATTAATTGGGTGCCAAGGAAATCACACTGATGAGAGAGTCTATACCATCGCTATAAGGGCAAGGGCAAGCCAGCTCTCTATATAGCCATCACCTGGGACTCAAGACTAGACTGGAGTTCAGACCCTGTCTCCTAGGTTGTGGTAGCATTTGGCTATGAGCTTCCTGGCCATCTTTCCCTAGATCATGCCCTGCTTGGACGCTCTGGCCTTAGTCCTGCTCATCCTGCTGGTTCCAGACATACCTCGAGGAGCAGCTGAGAAACAGGAAGAAGTGGCTGTGGAGGCTCCGAGGAGCAGCTGGTGTGAGGATGTCAGATACTTGGGGAGAAAGTAAGTGTCCCTGCTCTCTGTTGCAAATCTTAAGAAACCCCTCTGGAGGTGGAGAGATGGCTCAGAGGTTAACAGCATTGACTGCTCTTCCTGAGTTCAATTCCCAGTAACCACATGGTGGCTCTTGACCATCTGTAATAAGATCTGATGCCCTCTTCTGGCATGTAGGCAAACATGCAGACAGAATACTACAGAATACTATACATTTTTTTTTTAAATATAAGAAAGAATACTATACATAATAAATAAATAAATCTTAAAAAGAAAGAACCAGCCGGGCGTTGGTGGCGCACGCCTTTAATCCCAGCACTCGGGAGGCAGAGGCAGGCAGATCTCTGTGAGTTTGAGGCCAGCCTGGTCTCCAGAGTGAGTGCCAGGATAGGCTCCAAAGTTACACAGAGAAACCCTGTCTCGAAAAACCAAAA